AGATCAAACAGGCGCACCATTCACCCATCCAACACTCACCAAAACATCAACGCACGGTAAACCGTGCTGGCACGCCCGCGCCCAAAAGCAGGAAACCCCGTGTTACCGCACATCCCCTCGGCCCGGAACTCCATGCCGTGAGATTTGCGCGGCAGACAGTTTCAGAATAGAATGACTCAGAAAAGTCATGCGTTATTTGCCCCTGAAACCAAGATTGCAGCGACTTTATATGTCGACGCATACTGCCACAGACATGAGATGGCATAAGGAAAAACGGGTAGACGACGATGTGATACGGCATCCTGTAGATGGGGAGGCATGGAAAGTTCGATCGAACGTTCTTCGAGTTTGCTACTGATCCTCGAAATGTTAGATTGGGACTTGTCACAGACGGATTCAATCCGTACGGGGTTCTAAACCAACACCACAGCACTTGGCCGATTTTCGTATTCCCATATAATTTGCCGCCTTGGAAGTGCATGAAAAAAGAGTACATGATGATGACTGTTTTGATAACTGAGGATCCTGGCAGGTCAATCGATGTGTACTTAAGGCCGTTGGTTGATGAGCTGAAGGATTTGTGGACAAACGGTGTGCGCATGTACGTTAAATCCAATGGGAAGATGTTCACTTTGTGGGCGACAGTTATGTGGATTGTGAATGATTTTCCCGCATATGCAATGGTGTCGGGGTGGAGCACAAAGGGTTATATGGCATGCCCTGTATGCAAGGAAGATGTGACTTCTGGTTGGCACAATGGAAAAGTGTGTTACCTTGGACATCGAAGATGGTTGCCATGGGACCACGAGTGGCGGGAGATAAAGAGTTCGACGGGAACAAAGAGCGTCGCGCAAGACCTAGAGAATCGTCCGGTGATCAGATCTTGGAACAGCTGAACTGTTTGGATTTTGCTCCGTTCGGGAAAATAGTTAGTAGGGCCAGACCTGCTACACATATGAACTGGACGCACAAGTCTATGTTTTTTGAGCTCCCATATTGGTCGAAACTAAAATTGAGGCACAATCTCGACGTTATGCCT